AATATGTGCATCAAAGATGGCAGACCTAAAGGAGGATGTGGACGAATCCTCTCCTGCAGTGGGCGTGTCAGCACTCTTAGCAGTGTAAGGAAAACCCGAGGACTGAAATACGATCCACAAGGGGTTCGTGGGTTAGCCCAGTTGTTTAAAGTGCCTGCTTGGGCAAACTGTCAGGTGCAGGGACCGCGGTTTGATCTCCGGCTCCACCTGCTGCAGTAGACCTGCCCTTCTAAATATAATCAACAAACTCAAAGTAATGAATATGTATTTAACAATGCAGTGAACTATTTTTTAATAATTTTTTAAAATTATTTATTTATTTTTTTTTATTTATTTGGTCGAGGGTCTCACTATGCAACTCAGACTCATAGCGATCCTCCTATCTCAGCCTCCCCAGCACTGGGATTACAGGTGTGCACCACCACGCCCAGTCTTAGTGGCTGGCATGGCATGCTATACTGGGGATCGAACCTGGATCCTTGCACTTGCCAGGCGGACACTAGACTGCTGAGCTATCTCCCCAGCCATGCCGTGAACTATTACAGAATGCACATTCTTGTCAAACACCAAGGACCACTTATGGTGGGACCTTCTAGTATTCAGTAAAGCCTGCTTCACCCAACTTTAAAAGGTCATATCATACAGAACACATTCTCTAATCACAGTGTGATGAAATAGAAATCAGAAACAAACCAAAAAAAAGATACCTACAGCTCCTAATAAAAAGTCAAGGAGAAAATCATAAGAATTAGAGAAAAAATATAAGTGCCAACACTATGAAATACCACATAATAAAGCTACTATGCTCTGTACTGGGGTGTGAGGAGCTCGTGGGGTGAGGCGGGGAGCTCGTGGGGCTCTGCAGGAGGAGGCCCGCTGCCGGCAGTGGGGAGGAGCAGGTACTGGCCAGGGGCGGGCGCAGGCGGCCGCTCGTCCCTGAAGTTCGCATCTGTCATGGCCTGTGTGTCATCAGTCCACTCCTTCGTGGGGCCATGAGCTGTAGATGTGTGTTTCACACAGAAGAGCCAGATACTCGTGGGGGGGACTCAGATCCTTACAGCCAAGGAAGAGTTGGGAGGGCCCTGCCTGGCCTGGGACAGAACGGTTTCTTGGGTAGAAATGTTTGGAGACGATCCACTCCCAGCCTTACTACAAAAAGAGAAAAAACTTCTAAGGCTTGGCAGAAAGTCTACTTTTGCTTCTAGATTACATAGGTGTATGCAGAGAACTATTGAAGGGAATCCAACTAGGAAGGTAGCACAGTCACCCCTCAGTGCTGTGAGCGACCGCCCTTGGAACCCGGACAGCCCCAGCACTATACTCCAGGTCTCCGCTATAGAGTGCAGAGCCTTTGACCATGACCTATGCATGGCTTCCCATGGCCTCGCGGTCACGTGGCGGTTGCCTGTGGTGCCCAACACAACGTAAGTAAGAGCCACACTGTATTGTGTGTGGAGCGTGATAACAAGAAAAAAGGCTGTTCATGATCACTTCAGACGTACTTGTAAAAAATGCTTTTCATCTGTGTTTGGTTGCACCTGGGGATATAGAGGGCTAACTGAGTTCGTAAGGTTAGAATCTGATATTCAACCAAATTAAGTGTTTTAAATTCCTCATTATTTTTCAGTATTTGCACACTCCAGAAACAGTGAGCCTGCTCTTCTGGTGGTCTGGGATAGAGTGTACCAGTCTTATAATCTCAGGAGTTATTTTAGCTGCCCCCACTCCTCATGGCTTTCATCCTCACTGGGACAGAGCCAGGTATCTGCCAAAACACCTGGAACTCAGCCTGCCCCCATGGCAAGCCAGCCCAAGGCGACCCCTCAGCGCAGCCTCCCACCGCCGCCAGTGGTGCTTTGGATGTGATGCTGAGCTGGCCTGCAGGAGAACATTCCAGTACTTTGGTTGTCACTGGGCTCACTGGTGGTCACCTGGAACTTGGGATTCCCCCTGGTCAGCAGCACAGGAGTGTGGGTGTCCCCAGGCACCAACTGGTAACATCAGCCAAGCAGTATTGGGAGGGTCACCTCCTGGGAGGTCAGTTCCCCAGTGTGGTGACCATGCTGTTGAGATGGGGGCCCAAGAGCTCCTGAGGACAGGAACCGTGTGGCGGGAGCACTCCGCGGTCTTGGCTCCCTCCCTGTGACACTCAGACCCGCTGTTGCAGCCTTCTGTGTGTCCAGGCGAACTTCAGCCATGTCTCCAGCACGGGAGGGTGGGAGTGGATGCCAGCTGCTAGCTCGGCTACGCAATTGGGGCTCCTGGCCCCGTGGAGCAGCGGGGTCAAGGGTGTGTCCTGAACTCCAGGCAAAGCCTGGCTTCCTCTCTTCTCTTGGACAGCACATAATGACCGCCACACAGGCCTCCTTTTCTCGTATTTTTAATGTTCCTTTCTGATTCCTAACCTTTTATGCTTTGCAACCTATTTGAAGATAGTCATCCTATTATCTCTGCATTTCCACCTGTTCCATAATAAACCTCATGCAGCAGGAGCTTCGACATAGGAAGCCCTTCCGAGAGCTCACTGAATTCTTGGAGTTTATATTTGCAATGCCATGGACAAGTTATTGGAATTCTAATAAGTTAATTCCAATCTACCACTTCCAGTGAAACCATTGCGAGAATAAAGACACTAGGGAATATTTGTAGTTGTGAGGAGCCGAGGGGTCCTGAGTCCAGGCAGAACAGTGGCTTACTGGAACAAGGGGCCTGACTCAGCACTGGACTCTGCTTCTATTAATTTGTGACAAGGGCAGAGGCTTGCAGATGTGTGGCTGAGAGAAAGGCGTGAAGTATGTGTGTTCTGTCAGCTGGGCTGGGCAGGAGGCCTGAACTCACTGCTGCAGCGTGCAGAGGGAGATGCAGAAAGAGCAGTCTGCATGTCTCAGATTAGAATAGTGTCTAGTGTTTTGAGGTCAGTGCTGCAGTTTTTATATGTAACCATCATGCCCTGAGATGACACGGCTTCTCACTCCAAGCTCAGTCTGGGCCAACAGCATGGTGTTGTTTGGCCTAGCACGCACAGCGCTTGCTACTTGGGAGCTACAACCAGCACTCACTGACCTGTACCCCTGCTTTACAGGCTACACCTCAGCTCCGTGGCTAGCCGTGTGGCGCTTAAAGCCAGTTGAGGGGACAAGGAAATGTCCTAGCCTGCTCTGTACAAATCACACAGAGGGGTAGGGAGGTAGGGCCAAATACTCTTCTTTCAAGGAGAGCCATCCAAGTGGTCCTCCATACTTTGATACTTATTTTCCTTAATTACGGAAGATCGAAAGCAATTTTACTCTGAAAAATTTCTATGCCAGTCCTGGGAAGCCATGCTTGGGAAGGCACAAAATTAGTGAGATGGAGCCTTGGCTAGAAGCGGGGTTGAGTATCTACCCACCCACTCCTGGCCCAGGGGAGCTTGGGCGCTTGATAATTGGGCGTGGGGTGCAGCATGACCTCACAGTTGGAGTCATTGTATGTACTGAGACCTGCTGCAGCCATCACGCTGGAGGCTAAAAAGCCTGAAAGCACGCAGATTCTGTCCGTGTGAAACTCCAGAACAGGCGGATCTGGACCATCCAGAGCTCAGTCACTGACTACACAAAAGAAAAAGGAGGTGGGGATTGGCTGGGAGGGACAAGAACCTTTTCGGGAACTGAAATAGACCTCTTATGCAAGTGGGAGTACACAGGCATCTACATTTGTCAAAATACAGATCTGTACAAGCACAAAAATTCCTATCTTAATAAGCAGATTCAGAACTGTACAGTGCAGGAAGGCAATTCTGCCAGTACTTTCAAGTTCCCTTGTTTTCTTTTTCTCATTCCAAAATGTGTTTGCAATCCCATTAATTCTTGATTTTTTTTTCCAGAAAAACCAAACTTAGAAAAGCAGGCCTTGAACTCAGGGCAGTAGTCTTGCCTCATCTTCCCAAGTTCTGCCATTACCAGAACAGCCCGTGTCCCTGCTTGCAGCCATCACGCTGGAGGCTAAAAAGCAGTTCTAGGGCCAGCCAAGTAGTTCAGCAGATTAAAGCGCCTGCAAGCAGGGACACGGGCTGGGGGTTCGAGCCCCAAGCCTGCCGTGCCAGTTCTGCCCCTGGGACACACTGAGTTGGCAATTGAGACTGGGTGTGGTGGCTCATGCCTGTAACCCCAGCTCCTGGGAGGCAGTAAAGAGGCGGATCACTACAAGTCTGATCTAGTAGTGAGACCCTGAACACCCTCGAGACCCTTCCCTAAAATACAAAAATAAAAGAAAATAGTTCTAAATTCAGGAGTATTGACTGGAAGCCAGTTGGCTATACAAGCACAAGCAGAGGACCAATATGAATAATTTGTTTCTCTTGCTGGAAACATTGGGCTGAGAAGGGATGTTTATCATTCATTGTGACTCAGATAACACATTTACACTGTTGAAATTCTCATGCTCATTTGGCTTGTTCCAATATTTTAAAAATAGGGTTGTTTTCACTATGTGATACACTCTTTCCTTGTTTCTTTCCCATTAATGAAAGGTAGCTCTGCCGCTCCTGGTGATGATGCACCCTGTTCTGGTAATGGCAGAACTTGGGAAGATGAGGCAAGACTACTGCCCTGAGTTCAAGGCCTGCTGAGCTATGCTACATAGTGAGACTTTGTCTCAAAATAAATAAATAAACAAATAAATCGGTGGGGAGATGGCTTAGTGGCATAAGCACCTGCCTGCCAAGGGCAAGGTCCTGAGTTCCAATCCCGGATCCCCAGGCATGCCCTGTTGGCCCCAAAACTGAGTGTGGTGGCGCATGCCTGTAATCCCAGTGCTGGGGAAGCTAGATAGGAGGATCACTACGAGTCTGAGCTGCACAGCAAGACCCTATATCAAAATAAATACATAAATAAGTGGTAGCTCTTCATCTTTACCTCCCTCCCCTGAGGGAAGGTGGGGGCCGAGCCTCTCTCTCTGAGCCTTCTCCTCTGAGCACAGGCTGCTGATTTCAGGGCTCACCTCTGACTTTTCTATCTTTTCAGATTCCAGAGACAGCCACGCCCCTGCCAGGTGAAGGTGCCTCAGAAGACAACCTGATTCCCTCTTCCCCTGCAGACCCAGAGGAGCACGGATGGAGCCTGGAAACAGACCACGATGACTTGGAGACCCTGTCCCACCACAGTGAAAGTCAATCAGACACAAAAAACGACCTCTTTGACACTGCGTCTGACACAGGGTCCCTGGCCAGTGACATCACTGGAGCAGGCTGCTGCCCTCCAAGAGATTCCTCCATAGATGGAGAAGCAAGTTGGGGTTGGCCTAGTGTTCCCACAGATAGACCATCCCAGGACCCACATTTGCCCTGTGTCCCTGGACTTGATTCGGAGAAAGATCAAAATTTGTCCCTTCGCTTTGAGGAAGAGTCTCACAAAAATGAGGTGTACACCTTTGCTGCAGTTGCTGGGGACTGTGTGACCAGGCAGGAGCCAGGCTGTGTGCTAGCTGGGTGCTCCTCAGAGAGTACCTCTGGCAGGCATAGTCCCCAAACTGAGAAGAGGGTGACTGTTGGAGACCTCAGGGGACTTCGTGTGGCTTCTCTTCAGAAGTCCAGGTCTGAGAGCTATCTGCACATTCCCGTGGCCTGGCCCTTCCTCCTCCACTGCTGTGAACTAAGTCAGAGCTGGCTGAATGCCCACAACCAGGCCAGGCCACCAAGGCAACCTTGCACAGGCTGGCTGGACCACACAGACCCCTTGCAGACCAGAACCAAGGCAGGAAGCAGCCCAGTCCCTGAAGTGGACGCAGACTCACTCTGGGCGCAGAGCTGCTTGGGGGCCTCTTGCCAGCCTCCTCTGGGTGTCTCTTGCCTTTTACTTGCCAGACATCACCACAGCACCCCAGAAGATATTGGTGATCCTCGCAGGGCGTCCCCAGGGCATTACTGCCAAGACAGGAGGACACAGACCAGGGCCCGCTCTAAGAACTGTGCAGAGTTTGGGACTCTGTTAAAGGAAAGGACAGAAACTGAAAAACACTCGCAAGCACAGAGCACACTTTCCCCAGCACCCACCCCGCTGTTCCATTTGCTCTGTGCTTCGCAAAGCAGGTCGCCTTCACAGGCTCAGTACAGATCCAGTGGGTGTAGCTCAAGAAGGGCTTCTCAGGAAAACCGGCCCAGACAGGATTCTAGAACATGCCCAGCTGTTTCATGCCTGACTTCAGACCTGGCGAGGGTGGGAAGTCCAGGGGCAGTGCCCAGGCCTGCTGAGCACAGGCCGGAACACAGCCCAGGAAGCAGGCCCCCTGAGCCCCAGGGTGCGGGCCCGACCCTGTCCCCTGCTGACGCTAGCAGTGAACAAAGTCTCCTGCAGGAAGCTGCTGTGGAGTCAGGAAGCCACACCAGTAATTACACAGTAAAGCCTGCGCCAGGTGCGAGAGGCAAGCCGCACACGAGGGCCGACTTCCCAGGTCACTGTGATGGTGGTGGGGCCCAGGTATGGAGCAGAAATGGGCCAGGCTGCCAGGAAGTGGGTGACGGCGCAGATGTCCCAGAGACTAACCCTGCATTCAGGTCAGCAGACACTGTGAAGAAGGCTGAAGAGGCCATGGTGCTAGACCTCGGGTGCAGGAACAATGCTGAGCAGGATCCTTCCGAATTCCCAGCAACCGCTGAGTCTCACTGCACCCCTGGGGAGGAGGCATGTGGGAAAGAGCCTGGGGACGGTCCCGGGCCGTGCAGCACAGGCCTGCGGCTGGAGCCCAAAGCAGGTGTGGCTCCCCGGGGCAGGCGCACGCTGCTCATTGGAGCCATGGAGCAGAAAGGCCTGCAGGTGGCCGGGAAGAGAGTGTGTGCACTTCTAGAGTCACAGACCAGTAGTTTTCCACAGGAAAACCCGGCGTCTCCCGGAAGCCCTGGCGCTGCCCCATGTCAGTTCCCCAGAGCCAGGAACACATCAGCTTGTGGAAGGGGTTCTGCGCCACCCTTAGGAGCTGCACTAGCAGAGGACAAGGGGGCTCTTCAGTTGGTGGCCCCGAGCACGGAGGCTGGGGGACTTCTGATTCCCCGAGCAGCTTCAGAGGCTCTGAACCCAGAGGAGCCCCCAGAAGAGGTGCGACCCGGGGAACGCCCCGTGCCCAGGTCCGAGGGCGCACAGCAGGCTGAGGGCCCGCACTCTTCTGGGAGTCCAGGCGGGACCTCAGGGCGCTGCACCACAGATTCTCTGATGCCTGGGGAGCTCCACGCAGCATGTCCCCGGGCCGCAGCAGGCTGGAATGGGACACCCCCGTGCGGGCACAGGAGCACTGCCCCCGGGACAGCACCTGAGGGTGCAAAGGAAGGGGCTGCTGGGCTCATGGAAGGTGGGCCGGTGGGGACACCAGGAGAGCTCGGAATCACAGCCCCATCCTCAGCAAGCTGCAGCGCCAGGAGACCCAAGGTGCCCGAGAGGACGCTGTGGGCCAGGCTGGCCTTGGCCCAGAAGACCTTCGCGAATCTCTTTGAGTTGAAGGCTGTAGAGAAAGAGGACTCCGCTGACAACTCGCAGGACTTGGTCAAGGCCGAGAAGAAGAGCAGGCTGCGCCAGAGCCCCTGGCGTGCACTTCGGAAAAACAAAGATGTGGGAGGCCCCCAACGGCCCTCATCTGTGAGTCCCCTTGGTCCCAGAGCAGCCACGAACAGGGGTGGCTGCGAGGAGTGTGCTGAGGAGGAGGAGAGTGGAATGCTCTGTGATCACTGGAGGCCACCGCACTGTCCTGCACCTCTGTCACCCAGCAGCTTGGTGTCTCCAGAACCCAGGAGGAAAAGTGAACCCACCATCAAATGCACAGCCCCCCAGGAAGGGGGTGGTTCCCTCCCTTGCAGCATCTTCCCTGAGAAGTCCTGGCTGCAGGCCCCCAACAGCCCCGGGACCCAGCAGGCAGGCATCTGCTGCCCTCTGCCCTGCACCTCCACCTGCTGCTTGGCCTGTGGACACCAAGGTATGCCCTGCAGACCACTGAGCCCCAAGCCCCACAGTCCCCGGTCTGCTGCTCAGCTGACCAATCTCAGCTACACAGGCAGGACTAGTGCCATCTCCATGGTCTCTCTGGGAAGCTACAGTGAAGCAGACAACTGTTTGGAGGGGTCAGGAAGGCCCAAGACTACCAAGGCCCGGGCAAGCCTCCTGCTCTCTCTGCAAACACTAAACCAGGACAACCAGAAGGCGGAGAGCAGAGGCAGCCAGTGCCACCGTGGACCAAGCACAGCGCCCTCACTCAGGGACATCCCAGGGTATAAGGTGAGTACACAGACCCTTTACTTTTTTTTTTTTTTTGGTCCCTTTACTTACCAGTACAGTAATCAAAGGGAAGCCTTTTTGGCTCTCAGGATGAAATTAGACAGCCAGGGAGATAGCTCAGTGGAATAAGTGCTTGCCTGGCAAGCATAAGGTCCTAAGTTTGATCCCTGGTACTGCAAAATAAATAAATAAATGAAAAAAAAGTCAAGGAGCCAAACTTATTTACCTTTAAAAAAATAAATAAATAAAGGGGGCCGGGGAGATAGCTCACTAGAATAAGTGCTTGCCTGTCAAGTGCAAGGGGCTGAGTTCAATCTCCAGTTCTGCCAAATAAATAAATAAATAAATAAATAAATAAATAAATAAATAAATAAATGAAATTGGAAACATTTAAATACTTAGAACACAACACAGAGGTGTTTCTTTTTAAAAAAATTGTCATGGTGGAAGACTAACTTTGAGAGGAATTTTCCTATGTAAGGGCAGAGGTGAAGTAGGAGGGGCTTGGCCACCCCCAGGGGTGCCACACCCCATCCTCACAGGACCAAACCAGAGGCTTAAAATTTGCCAGCCCGACAAGCAGGAACTGGTGTCCCACTCTTGTTCTCTGTTCTACTCCAGTCAAGCCATCTGAATTTCCTTTTCTATCGACTGCCTCTTCACAGCGCTCGTCCATCATCTGCTAGGTGGCTGGCATTGGCTACAGCAAGCTTGGTCCTTCTCCACCAGATCAGCTTTTTACAAAAGGAAATTCCTCTGTGCTTTCTTCTAGCCCTTTAATGGTTTTTCAGTTTGCTCTTAAGTCTGGTCCAGTTGGACTTATTTTGATATGTCTGAAATAGGAGTTGTTGGTACTTCCAAAATGTCCAGAAAGATGAAGTGAAGGCTCCTTTCCAGGACAAAGCAGCACAGTGCATGGTATGGGTGCGTTCCAGGAGCCTTCTCGGAGGTCTCCTGGCCCTCCAGAGGAGGAGACTGGCCTTGAGACAGTAAGGCTCCCTTTGCACTTTAGACAAAGCTGCAAGGGTGAGGTCCGCACCACAGATGGGGGGCCTAGCCATGCCAGCCTCCTGCACCCCTGCCTCAGGGCCTTCTGCTCCTGCACACCAGCAATGTGGGGCTACCTCCCACAGGCTACCTACTGCAGGCAGCTGAATTAAATTGAAATAGTATAGGCAGTCAGACAGGGCCAGGCCCTCAGGAGGAGCCAGTGCGCAAGACGAGACTCCTTGCAGCTGTGGGAGACACAGACACCCTGGTGTGGGCCAGACCTCAAGATGAAAGACCAAACAAATGCAGTCACATACTTTCCCAGGGATAGACTTCAGAGATTGAGATTCTAAGTAGGTTTCTATCACCTTGAGGAAAAAAAAGCCAGAGAGAGTCACTAACCCAATCCCCTACAGGAAGAGAGCCCTGTTCTGTGTTCATGCCTGCTTGCTACATGACTCGCTTCCCCAGTTGGTCCCGATCTAATCGTTTTACCTGAGCAACTTGTAATCAGGTTGGGAGTGTCCTTCTATATCATTTGGAAGGCCCACTAGGATGGGGGATGGCTTGAGTCCAGGAGCCTGGGCTACAGTGAGCTATGCCAATTAGATGTCCACCCTAAGCTCAGCATCAGTATGGTGACCTCCTGGGCATGGAGAACCCCCCAGTTGCAACAATACAGAGGAATGAAACTCCCAGCCTGAAATATTCTCTAAAACTGATGAATAAATTTTAGGAACAACGGAGGTCAAGAGCAGAATATATTTATTGAGAGGAAGAAAACTCCTGTCTGAGAGAGGGACAGAAGGGGACCCGAGTGAGTTGTGAAGGAACTGGCCTTTTCTAGGGACTTTTGTAGAGCAATACCATGAGGTGAGGTGGATCTAAGGTGGGAACCCCCAAGGTGGGTTTGAGGTGGAACTAAACTATGGTCTACTGATAAGACTACGAGCATAATTGCTCAAGTAAAATTGATTAAATTGGTATCAAATGGGGAAGCCAGTCATGTAGCAAGTGGGCATGAGTGTAGAACAGGGCCTTTCCTTGTAGGGGGTTGGGTTAGTGACTTTTTCTGGCTCTTTTTTTTGTTGTTGTTGTTAAGGTGCTGGAAACCTATTTGGAATGTCAATCTCTGCTGTTTATCCTTAGGGAGGTATGCATCTGGTTGATGTTTTGTCTTGGTCCTGGTGCACAACAGGAGTGCTGCTCCCTGCACAGTTGCAAGGTACCAGTCTTCCTCACAGGCTCCTTCAGAGGGGCTGGCCCTGGCTGGCTGCCTATAATGTTTCCATCCAACTCAGCTGCCTGCAATGTTCTTCTTGCAAACGTCAGCCACCCAGAGAGCTCCAGCTTCATACCTGCTGCGTCACAGCACACTCAGCAGGGAGGGCCCCACAGGTCCCTGCAGAGCTCCTCCATCTCTGTTAAGAAGGGTGGCCCTGGGCCAGGGGGCTAAAGAGGGGTCGTCCCAAGGATGCAGGAAGTAGCGGGCACTTCAATGCAGTTACTACCAGCTTGGAGTCACTGTGGCTTGTTCAACACAGTTTCTCATCTGTAAAGCGTTAAACAGTAAAAGTTTTTCATGTTTTCCTTTTGAATTACTTATTGGTTAATTGCAATTACTAAAGAAAAAAAGGCAAATAACACAGAGAAATGAAAGGGAACCCTTTTTAGGGCTGAGAGGAGGAGTACTGGTTTTATACTTAGCAGGAGGAAGTTTGAGGAAGTTGTGTATCTCTAAAAATAAATAAAGGCTGGGGAGATAGCTCAGTTGAAAAAGTGCTTGCCTGGCAAGAGCAAGGTTCTGAGTTCAATCCCTGGTACAGCAAAATTAATTAATTAATTAATTAATAATAAATAAATAACATAAAGTTCCACCTTACAGCACCAGTTACAATCCCCTCTTGCTTTAGTAACTGTTATGGTTTATGTCCAGATGTCCCCAAAGCCCCATCCAGTCATGGGCTGGGTTTCTAGAGTTCGTGACTGTTTGATGGTCAGTGCTGGGATTATGGCTGTGAGTGCTACAGCCTCCCTGGGGCGGCAGCCTGTGTATGGCGCAAGGGAGGGAGAGAGGCCTGCTTCTGCTGCACCTTCCCGTTAGCTCTTCGTTGCCTTCGCAACAGTTCAGGGCGGCAGAAGGCAGCAAGAGCAGTAAGAGCAGAATGGGGAGAAGCAAGCCCCTTTTCCTCCCGCATGGTGCACCAGCTCCCCACCCGCCCTCTCTGTGCCCTCCTCTTCCAAGCGCTCACACATTTACAGAATGACCATCCTGACTCCCTGCTGAGCCACTTGGTCAAGCTTCTAAGCTTCTCAGTTCCCAAGTGGACACTGTGTGTCACCCAGTACCCGGGGTCCCTGCTCTCAAGGCTGGGCGCAGCAGTGTTGCAGCTTAGTCGGCATGGTGACATCTTGCACCCGGGTAGCTGTTTCCTGGTTCACTAAGAGATCGCTGGCTAGAGAAGTTCTTGCACATACCGTCTCACCTCCTGACGGTAAACGCTGATGCAAGCTCATCTTGATTAAAGCTAATGGGAAGGGGAGATGGATCTACTTTCTAAGATGTCTCTTTAAGGTGTCCTGCATCTCTTGGGCCTCTCCTGATGATTCTGGTCTCTAAGCGCAAGGGAAATGTTAAAGAATGCCTAAGAATTCACTTGACTACAAAAAGCAACAGATTTCTGCACTCTGAAGGGATTGGTACTTGTAGTCAGATGAATTCTTAAGAGTTTCCCAGACCACTTTTAACCAACCAACAACTATGCAAAAAAAGAAAATTGAAACCTGTACACAAACTTCCCTTTTCTTAACTTGTGCCATAACATACAAACTTCTACTCTTTTTTTTTAAACATTTATTTATTGTGTGTGTGTGTGTGTGTGTGTGTGTGTGTGTGGCCAGCTCAGCCCACCAGGGGGCGGGGCTGGCTGGCATGTGGTGCTGGGGGATTGAACCGCGGTCCCTGTGCTTTCCCAAGCTTGTTCCAAGTAGGTGCTTTAGACCCCTGAGCCATCTCACCAGCCCCAAACTTCTACTCTTGTCAGTCCTTAACATCTACCTTTCTGGATTTTCATGAATTTCTATTTCACAAGGGTATTTTATACACACTGGTGCCAACATACAATAAAATACTTAGTATAAGCAAAAAAAAAAGAAAAAAAGAAGAAGAAGAAAGAAAGAAGAATGCTTAGTGCTTCAGGGCCTTCCTGAGTGACCCTGACCTTGAAAGAGGGCCCGTTATCACTCTGGACCCAGGACAGGGAACCTCCTAGAGGCAAGGCCCAAACTGCAACACACTTATAACGAAGTGCCAAGCTGCAGTTAAACCAGAATACTGAGGTTTTAGTTTAGAAAAAACAACTCAGACATTAACATCTTTTGCCTAAAAGAAAAACAATGTCCATGCCATAGTTCCCACCGCTGCTGTAGGCTCTGGGGAGCCCTTGCCTGGGAAAGAGCTCTAAACGAAAGGCCTGGCCACTTGGTGTGCCTTTTTCATTCTATAAGGAAAGGCTTTCACCCAGTTAGCAAAAGTAGCTCTCCAAACCAGCAAGTATTAGATTCCTCTACTTCTGGTTATACAAATGAAGTCAAGCTACGAGCCCTCTCCTGGGTGTTTTCCATGTTCTCGTACACCAGGAGGAACTATGGCTTTCCTGAAAGGGCTGTTCCTTCATCACGCTTCATGTTTTCATTTCTTGTTGGATTATTTGAGAAAGTCCTTTCCCTAGAAATAATTTTGGTGCCATGTGACGTCTTATGTGTAATAATCTTTTATTCACTGGCCACTGGAGGGAGCAACTGTCCATGACCAGATTGTAACCGGGCAGGAGGATAAGGCCTGTTCAGTTTCTTGCCTCATATATTGAGGTTGGGTCCCGCCTTAAAGATCCCTCCCAAATTAAGGGAGCATGGCTAAAGAGCCTGGGAGCTGCTTCTCTAGCTGTGGTCTTGCTAGTTGCCAGTCCCATGACACTTTTTCTACTCCCTTCTGATGTCCCGAACAATAT